GGTTAGGTTCAGAGGTCGTGACAGGTCGAGTTCCATGGCGGATTGGAGTTTTGAGCATGGGTCTCTCAGATCTTAGTCCAGCACTCTGAACCACTATACCATAGTGGCTGTCAGGATGTCCTCTGTGGATTATATCCTACCTGATATACCCTTGCTTTGGTGTTATGCCTGTAAACAAGCCCTATTTATAGTTGGGGTACCATGAAAGTAAAGCACAAAGTTTCTATGTATGCAATAAGCGATGCACAGTCCTCAGCCTTGATAGATGGAATATGTCTCTTTAAGCGCATTCAGTCCTTTTGTGGTTTCATGGACTGAGCTATTCATTTCCACTGTCATGGCCAGGCTATGTTGGGGAGGCTCCAGGCCTGATTAGACATACCCCAATCTTGATACAACATAGGTCTCCTTCTCCAGGGCTCACGTGCTAAATTGTACTCTGTGGACCTTATTTGCCAAAGAGAACAGGGGCTGTGGCTCAGTGGTAGAGCATCTGCTTGGCATGCAGGAGATCCCAGGTTCAATCCCCAGCATATCCAGTTAAAGGATCTGGCAGTAGGTGATTGGAAAGACCTCTGCCTGAGACCATAGAGAGTAAGATTATGCATTCGGTTATAACGAACCGAAAAAAACAACGAATAATGCCTATTCAGCATTATTCAGACCTGCTGACAACTGAATTAGATTCCCTAATCTGATTTGACTAGCCAAACAGGGATTCCTCGAATGGATGCCACATAGTCAGCATCCATTTGGGGAATCCCTTTGCTGGGCGAGGGGAAGGCAGGGGAGGCATTTAAATACCTCCCCGATCCTTCCAGGGCCTTCCCCGGCTGGCCCACCTCGGCGGGCAGGCCAGGGAAGTCCAGGGGGTGCAGGCTTTCCCCGGCTCACCCGCTTTAAATGCCTCCCCGATCCTTCCAGGGCCCTTGAGATGTGGAATGCATGGGGCCGAAAGTTATTCGGCCAGCCGAACGACTTCCGAATCGGCTTCCATTGCCGAAAGTGACATTCGGGGGACATTTGGCTGGCCAAAATTTATTATTATTTTTTTGCACATCCCTAATGGAGAGCCGTTGCCAGTCTGAGTAGACAATACTGACTTTGATGGACCAATGGTCTGATTCAGTATAAAGCAGTTTCATGACAACTGTTCACTACTCCAAAGGGCTTGCTGGAAGTATTTGTAGTGGACCATGGAGAGTTCAGTCTTGGATTAACTGAATAGTTGGTTACTTTCTTAAATATGAAAAGATGTGGCCATTTTATCATGCTACTGGGTTCCTGATTCTGACATATTAAGACCACAGGGAGTATTCCATCCAGACTGCAATAGCAGAAGCCGGATGGACCCGTGAAACTTTGCAGTGTTAATTCCAGGTGGCAGGTTGCCACAAAGTCTTTTGTCAGCAGATTCTACCCTTGTGTCTCCTCTCTGCCAGCCTATTTAGCTGCACAAAACCAATTTTAATTACTGATAGTTAAAACTATCCAGCCCTGTACTAATCGACGTAAATGGCAGCAGGCCTAGAGGGAATACAGTAATCTTTCTATAGGACAGTTTGCAGCATACAAGGGAAATGAGGTACTTTGCTGGCAGAGATGTTTCTCCTGATTGGAATTCTCTTGTAAAAGGACACCATATAATCAGGCGGTCCTACTGAACCTGTGTCCAAAACTGGTTCGCAGAGAATTGGTTTCAGTGAAATTAACATGAACCCAAATCTAAGATCTTTCGGTCGCTTTGATCCCAAATGGAGACGAACCCTTCATCACTGAAGTTTACTTGGGTTTATTTATTTACCTTATTTATTGTCCGCCTTTCTCAGGAAGGCTAGATTACACAGTGAGAGTCAGTGCAGTCGATAGGATGGGAAGACCAATAGCCACTGTAATAGGATTAGGATGTGGGAATTAAAACAAGTAAAGAACCTGGGGGGGGAAAGATGAAATGAGGCGTTAGTAGATGTGGAATATTATCAACGTAGATAATACATACAGCAACAGATAGTATGTAGTACACACAGTAGTACAGAACAGGGAGGCAAGATTGGCCGCCACAAGGGCCAGGGCCTTTTCGGTAGCGGCCCCTACCTGGTGAAATGAGCTCCCGGGTGAGATCCGGGCCCTGCGGGATTTGATGCAGTTCCGCAGGGCCTGCAAGACAGAGCTCTTCCACCAGGCTTTCTAGTAGGGGCCGCTCCCCCCCCCATTATGTTACCATCTTGGGGGGGAGTTGAAGAGGCCCAGAGAAGAGCCCTGAGAAGATCTTTGGAAATATTGTGACGCTACAGTCTGTCAGCCAAAAATCGTTGAAGCTGTCCCGCCATCTTGGGTTTGGAGTTTAGTCATCACTGAGCACTTTATGTAAGATAGGATGGGTTTTAATTGTATAAAATGCTTTTATATTGAAGATATACCATTATTTGTATTGTGGTTTTATTGTCGCAAGACTATCTTGCCCTGTAAGCCGCCCTGAGCCCTACGGGGGAGGGCGGGGTATAAATTTGAATAATAAATAAATAAATAAATAAATCCTGAATAATTCAGTTTTGCATAGTTTGCAGCATGCCAGGAACAGTGGGAACCTTCTGAACTTATCGGGTAGGCCATTTCATAGGGTGGAGGCCACAATAGGGAATACACGTGTCCAGGCAGTTGTCGATCGTGTCCATTTGCAGAGTGGCACCTGCGGAAGGCCCTGCTCAGATGAGCAGAGCTGTCATGGTGGAGCACAGGGGGGGGGAGACAGATAGGGTCTCCAATCTCGAGGTGGCACGTGGAGATCTCTTGCTATTACAAATGATCTCTAGCCGACTGAGATCAGTTCCCCTGGGGGAAATGGCTGCTTTGGAGGGTAGGCTCTATGGCACTATACCCTGCTAAGGCCCCTCCCAAAATCCCACCCTCCCTAGGCTCCACCCTCAAAATATCCAGGTATTTCCCGACCGAGAGCTGGCAAGAAAAGATGGGGGAGGAGGTACAGAAAAGAGCGTTGTGCTACTTTGTGCATTAACCTTGAACCCAAGTTCAACAGGTGATGGCAAAGAGAAGTTAATTAACTAAACTAAACTGTAAGCTGTTCTGGAACATCGAAAAGCTTTGGGCACAACCCTACCCCAAACTAAGCACTCTTCAGTCCCATTGGTTTCAGTGAAAAGGTGTATCAGGTCCAGCAGCAGATGGTTAACAAAAACCCACAAAAAACGGCATGAAGGTGGGAGCCATCCTGTTTCTGTCTCCAGCATCTGGTACTCAGGGGTGTGATACCTAGGGTTGCCACCCTCCAGGTGGGGCCTGGAGATCTCCCACTTTTACAACTGATCTCCAGCTCACAGAGATCAACTCCTCTGGAGAAAAAGGCTACTTTGAAGCATTGTACCATCCTGAAGCCCCTCCCCAAAGCCCCACCCTCTCCAGGACCCACCCCCAAAGTCTCCAGGTATTTTCTAACCCAGACCTGGCAACCCTAGTGATGCCTCTGAAATGGAAATTCCATTTAACTCTCCTAGCTGATACCTTCTTGCCATTAATGAGTTTGTCTGGTCGTTTTTAAAAGCCTCCTGAGCTAGCAGCCTTCACTTTTCTGTTCTGCATATGTTTTGCTCCTTCTAGTCATAGGCTTGCTATTACATCGGTTTTTGTCAGGCATATGCCAGACATAAATTGATGTAATATCAAATCAACCACTAGAGGGAGCAAAACTGAAAACAGGAACTGAAAAGCCCCTGGAGAAACAGGAGTTTATACGCAGCAAAAATGAGAATGCAGAAAAGCCCACTGTTTGGGTCAAAGGAGTATTTCCTTTTGTTTGTCCTGAGCCTACCAATGATTAACTTCATTGGGTATTCCATAAATTCTGTCACTATGAAAGCAGGAGAAAAGATTCCTTTCTTTCTGTTCTCTCTTAATATTTACAATTTTAAAAAGCTTCTCCCACATCCTCCTTAGCCGCCTTTTCCCTTAAACTAAAATAAAACCTACACTTGGCGGCATTTCCTCATATGAAAATACTCCAAGTTCTTGCTAATATTAGTGCCTTTTCTTGCTCAAAAAATCCTTTTGAAATGGGGTAACCAAAACTGTTCACAGTACTCTAAATGTGGCAAGCATTAAACTTGTACATTGCCAAGAAAGATAAAAATATCTGAAATTAGCTCTCTCCCCCCCCTCCCCGTTCCATCTAATCAATGTAGAAAGGACATCTGGAAAATGAAATTCCTTTTGTCCTTTCACTGGAGGAGTGTGACTGCCAGAAGACACGGCAATAGTGCGAGCAAACAGGTGTCAGAATCCAGTGTTTAATTATGTTTCTTTGCTGTTGTGTTCCGGACATTAACCTATTGAAATGTATTTGAGCCAGTTCAACACTGGTTCAGAGTTGCTTAGTTCTTTCCGAAACCACTTTTTTACAATTACATGCCTGAAACTGAAAGCAAACCCAGAGTGTTAAAACCAGGGGTCATTTTGTAGAAAAAGAGGTGCAGGAGCTCATTAGCATAACTCATTTGCATATGCCACACACCTCTGACATCACCAGAAGTGTGTCAGAAGGCAACACCCACCGCTCAGGCTCCACTGGACTGTTTTGAAGTGCTAGCTATTGTGGGGGGGGGGGAAAATGCAGATCTGTCCTCGCAGAGGGGGGGGGGCTTTGACCTGAATAAAACTTGGCCTTAAAGGTGCCACTGGACAGTTTTGGATTGCTAGCTGTGGGGAGGGGAACACGCAGATCTGTGCAGAAAGGAAGGAAGGCAGGAGAGAAAGAAAGAGAAGGAAAGGAGGAGGGCTGCTTCTTGCTCCTCATGGCCCAGGGCTGCTGGGAGCAGGGGGTGGGGCTTGTTGCATGTGCCCGCCCCCTGGGCTCTTTACTGCCGGAGCTCCGCTCCTCTGCGCTCCTGCAGGAAATGACCCCTGGTTAAAACCATCCCAATGAATCAGAACTGGATGCAAAATTTCAAGGATGTGCATCATGCCTTTGGAAATGTGTCCTTTTGCAGATACTCCATTGACCGGAGCAGTGATCCCGGACGCTTTTTTTATGTTGATATTGCAACCGGTGCTTTGATGACCGCACGACCCTTGGATCGGGAAGACGTCGCATGGCACAACATCACAGTGTTGGCCGTCGAGATGAGTAAGGCAAACTGAAATTACGGTTACAATGAAAGGAATCGGCAAAAGTTGTTCCCACCGCTATGACCTTGAGCAGATGTTAACGCTGGCTCCTCCCACCCCACCCCTCTCCTATTACGTTTTACTGTTTTCGAACGTAGAAACTGAACGACAATCAAGATTTTTATCAACAGAATATATTCCCAACCCCATATCCTGTGCATATCACCCTCTTTTTGTACATATTGTGGAATGACATATTGTGGAGATAAAACCCACAATGGAATATACGCTTGTACAAAGAAAGCAGTAGAATAAAGGAGGGGAATGGCGTTTGATCATCCTGCATTGTGTAATTTCTCTCCTTTTTAATTTAGATGCAGATGTTGATTCCCTCTTAACTGCATTTAAGAGACTGAGAGTGTGATAGAGTCCTGGTTCTCAACTGATAGCCTGAGGGGGATGAAGGTTTTCACAACAATTACTAAAAAAAATCCTCATGTCCACCTGCTATGACATGCAGTCTCCTGCCAACCCTCCCAGCATGGTAGTAGTCATAACAGCATGCCTGTAGACATACAAATGTCCTTCTCAGAAGGAAAAAGTAGGCTCTTTCTATCTTAGTGGGACCAATGCTCCCTCTAAACTGTGGAGTCTTGTGAGCAAAAATTCCACTTTGTGAGCTACTGGCCTTAAAGTTGTGAGCGAGCGATTTGGCTACTGCATAAATCAGTTTGCTCTGGAGCCCTCCTCCCTGAGCTAAGGCAAAAATGTGTGAGCCGGAGGCTAAAAAAAAAAAGTGAGTTGGCTCACACTCACTCAGCTTAGAGGGAACACTGAGTGCGACCCAGGTTCTTTCATAGAGTGGGACATAATATACAGAAGTTTGAGAACCACTCTGCTAGAAGAAGAAGAAGAAGAAGAAGAAGAAGAAGAAGAAGAAGAAGAAGAAGAAGAAGAAGAAGAAGAAGAAGAAGAAGAAGAAGAAGAAGA